CATCAACCCACACCCATCTGGGTCCTGTAAATTACAATATCCCTTCCCGAATTCAAACGGCCCGTATTACGAAGATGCTGCGCCTCTTTGTGCCCGTTTCAACAAGCGCGTCTTTATATCCAGTCGGCTATCTTACAGCAAAGACGTTCCAGATTTTTAGCTTGGCCGGTTCATTGGGTTCGCCAGGGGTCTGAGCGCAATACCTCTTTATATGCATACATGACGCAAAGGGCTTATTATTAGCAAGGTACGATTACCGTATGCCATTGGGCGAAGAACTGTCGCCAATATTTACAACCCTCCTGCCCTCTAACACTGCAACCCGACCTGTTACGTGCGGAGCGGTTAGGTCGTCTATAAATTGCATCACTTTCCTCATCCGCTTGAAGGTGTATGCCATAATTTCTACCACAACATATATCTACCTAGGACCGCTTCGGCTATCCAAAAATAGTAGGTCTGAAAGGTTCACCGTGGCTGTGGCGTGAACTAGCGCGCGGCAAAATAGCGAATTAAAATCCTCACCAGGCTAAAAACCTGGGGCATAATACCGGACGCTTCTTGTCGAAACCGCGTTTCTTGGTCCTAAACCGTTTCAGCCTCAAGATCTCCTCTCCAGTCGTCGATCACGCATCACTATTCATCTGATCACAGTTTGTATGACATATTGTACCGTTCTTCCCGCGAAGTTATGATGAAAACCTGCAGTCCTTGATCTTGCACTTAGAAATTCAATCAGGCCAGATTTTCCTGTTTGCCCGGCTGTACCGACTCATTTTTAACAAGAACGCATTTGCTACATAATGGATCTGTGTAGCCTCGGTATTGGACACGCAGCTCTCGGTCAGCCATGATATGGGATTATCTGCTAGTCAGTGATTACTGTGAAGCCCGTATTCAAGTCGAAAAAGCTCTGAAGAGTACCTAAAATATAGTAACGATATCGACAGTACTCTTCGAAAACAGGTATGTAATGTCTCCTGGACCGCCTTTACTTTCTCATCTAGAAACACTCATCGGATATACGTAAATTAAACCTGAATAAGTGTTTCCATATCTACCTGCCTAGGTAGGTACCTATCATTCAACCCCGGATTTAGGATTCAGGATGAACAGCATCTCATGGTTCCAGAAAACTACCTCTACAATGCAACCTAATCTAGGCACCCGGGGTACCTAGTAGGTATTCAGACATTCCGGGGCATTTCAGACCATCTCACGTCAGCCTCTTTTCTTCTTCTTTTCTTTCTCTATCGTACAAGGCAAGGTGGCACGCAACAGTAGTCGTCGTCTGTTCCCCATGGACCAGAGAAAACTTTTTTTTTTTTCACAATTTTTAATCTATTTAATTCATTAGCTTTATGTTTCATCACAGATATAGTCCATTGGCGTCTTAACATGTTATGCTAATGATGGATATTTGGACAGTCTAGCGTGTCTTCCATAGGCAACTTATCTCTTAGACGGGCAAACAACCTACGTGGGAAGCTATCACCGCTCTTGATATCGAACTCGCCGGTGAGCGAGAAGAATCCAATGGAGACCGCCGAGGCACAACAAAGGACCCCTGAATATGCCAAGACCGTCTGATGCCATCCGCATGCATGTCTTCCGGTCTTGGTATTCCACGTGCCAATGAGATTCGCTTTTCGATAGCTTTTGCAAGGCACCGCCAAGGCTGCGTCTCTTGTACCTGGCTTATCGGGTTAAGCTGCCCAGATGCTAGTGTTATCTCGATCAAGCCGCATAGCAGTGCCCAAGAGCTGCCTGCTGGAGTCTCACGGGTTATCGCAGGATACCGCCGCTCTGGTCCCAACGGATCATGACTGAATCGGGAAGGAAGTTCGCAGAAGATTAGGACTTCGCCAAGCTTGACGAAATCTTTTATTGATGGTATGTGTGAGATGATATTTAAAGCTAAATCGCTGTCCAGCTCAAGGTAGAGAGAGAGCTGATTCCCCAGTGCGTTGGCAGTATCTCGGCCCTATAGATCATCCAAATACACCATTGAGTAACTGGTTGAGCAGTATCATCATGGTTCGCGTACCTGCTCTTCGTTTTCTCTCCTTCGCCGCCGCTAGCTTCGTTGTTTTGGCCTCGGCCGAGGACTCGCTGTACAGCAGACGCATGTCAAAGCGCTTCATCGATAGCGATGGCAACTATAACATCTCATTCTACCACGTGAACGACGTCCACTCTCACTTGGACGAGTTCTCTTCCTCGGGAACCGATTGCACGCGACCCGAGAGAGGTTGCTACGGCGGATACGCTCGTATTAAGACGGTGGTCGAGGACACGCGGCCGGAGCACCAAGACAGCTTATTCCTCAACGTAGGCGATGAGTTCCAGGGTACGCTATTCTATACATTCTACGGCGGGGAGAAAATTGCCGAGACCCTGAACCAGATGGGCTTCGACGCCATGACACTTGGGAACCACGAGTTCGACGGCGGTGACGAGCCGCTGGGCGACTTTCTGAAGAACTTGACCTTTCCCATCATTTCCGCCAACATTGTCTCGGATAACGAGAAGCTAAATTCCACCCTCAAGCCCTACCATATCTTTGAGGAGTACCAGCTCGCTGTTATAGGCGTTACGACCGAGACGACGGCGGGAATCAGCAACCCTGGTGATGGCACAACGTTCACTGATGCCATCGCCGCCGTGCAGGCTTCGATTGACGAGATTCGCAGTACTACCAACATTACGCGCATTGCGGCCATTACGCACATCGGGTACGAGGTGGACAAGCGCCTGGCCCAGGAGACAACAGGTCTTCACCTCATCATCGGCGGCCACAGTCACACGCTTCTCGGTGATATGGAGGGAGCCGAAGGCAAGTACCCTACCATCGAGACAAATATGGATGGTGATGAGGTCTTTATTGTTACTTCTTACCGATGGGGCGAGTACCTGGGCTACATCGACGTGACATACGATCCTGAGGGCAAAATTCTTGCGTACCACGGAGCCCCCATTCACCTGACAAACACCACCGAACAGGACGAGGGCCTCCAGGAGCAAATCGACGAGTGGAGAGTTCCATTTGAAGCATTTGCCGCCCAGCGAGTTGGCACCACCAACGTTGTACTCGACCAGTCCACTTGTCAGGAACAGGAATGTACCCTGGGTGATTTAGTATCCGAGTAAGTCTCTTACCAAACCTATGAATCTGCTTGACCTTGGTCCAATCATCTCAACATATCTATTAATACATATCTTTAGTGCACTGCTGCAGTATCGCATCGATGGCGGTAGCGATGTGGCCTTCGCGCTTGTCAACGCAGGTGGTATTCGTGCCACCATAGACGCAGGGCCTATCACTCGCGGGCAAGTCCTAACCTCATTTCCGTTCGGTAACGCTGTGGTCGAGGCGACTTACAGCGGCGCCGACCTGTGGAAAGTCTTCGAGGGTCTTGTTAGCGGCATCAATCAGTTCAACCAGCAGGAGGTTACTAGTTTCTTCCAGGTTAGCCGCGGTATCAAGATCGAGTACAACCCGGATAACGCCGTTGGTTCGCGGCTCGTGCGTCTTACGATCGGCGACAACCCCGTTGACCAGGCGGCCGAGTACAAGTTCGTGACGGTTGATTTTATTGCAGGCGGAGGCGATAACATCTTGGTTCCAGTGGACGATGTGATAGTCTTGGATACTATGGACGAAGTATTGGTCGACTATATCGAGAAGTCGAGCCCGATTAACTTCCAGCTTGATGGTCGTATCGCTACTGTAGAAGGTAGCGCGGATGAGAGTGGTTCCGGTGCCAATGCTACCGATACAAGCGGCACAGATGCAAGTGGCACAGATATGAGCGGCGCCGAGCATGTGAGCGGCATTTCCTCGTCGGTTGTCCTTCTAGTATTCACGGCTCTCCTAGCATTTGTAGTATCTTGAATGGCATATATCTGTATATATAGATTAGAACGAGCAAAGGTCAAGCATTTTATTGTTACGATATAAGTATGTGATGTGCATGGATCCTATTTCGAAATACCCATTGAGTGGCATCACCTAATAAATCATGGTACTTTAAGACTTCTACTTGTCTTATCAGCAGTGACTCCAAGATTCATCCCTCGAGTGGGACGGCTTATTAGGGTCTGTAGAATACGACGAGGCCTGGCCTAGGTCATGGTAGGCATCGTGCTTGACGTTGCGATCCTTGGACATGTCGAGATGGACATAGCTGTTTGGATCAGAATGAAGCCAGAATACCAAAGGAAATGGGGTTCTGATCATTCGAGCATGCAGCAAATCATATTTCAACCACCGAGAATGAATATCGGTGACCATGATGCGCGCCTTAGAAGAAGGGGATAGCAACGCATCTTATTCCTTGCGCAAGGAACCAAAGTCCTGTCGTAGAGCCTATTTAAGCTCTGTAGTTGTGGTTGGGCTGTTAATCAAAATTATACAGAGATCATATGCCTGTACCGCACAGGTCGGTGCCGCTGGGTGTCTCTCTTCGGTTTCAACATTGGTATCATCGTCGGGACTCAGGCACTAGCATCACGTATATCACCGATCGGTACAAGGACTTCACTTTGGTCTACCTAGACGAGCGGCCGCGGGAAAACCACTCCCCGAACATCTAGACTCAGCTTCCTCCATCCAAAGAAGCTTCCTCCGTTGCAGGGTTACTTCAATAACGAGTGAAAGCGGCAGCTCGGCTACCTCCTCCTCTTTGGTGTACAAAGAGAGGCAGTGTGTGCCGATGACAAAGATATGTACAGAGAGTCGCCTAATGTAAAGGATTCGCATGAGCAGATGATGGTGAGAGCCTCGTAGAAGGTCTCGAGGGAGAAGTAGAAGGTCTCGAGGGAGAAGCAGAAGGCTGTGGAGAAGAACTCAGTTCGGATATTCGAACTGGGGATTAGGCAACTTCTATAATTAGCACTGAATGAAGGTGTAGATCCTTGAGAGGCGGCCCTAGCCATTTGTGGTCAGACGGAGCCGTCTGCTGAATATAGCCGGGCTTAACAGAACTGACGAATAAGACGGATCGGTAGCTCAGTGGTAGAGCAGTGGATTGCAGATCCAAAGGTCGCGTGTTCGATCCACGCTCGGTCCTTCATCTAGTAAGCGTACGATGTATTGAATTAAGTAGGCTTTTTGAGGTTTGCTTTGTTTTTGTTTTTACTTTTTATTCGTCTTGTGCATATGCATGCTGAAAGCAGACAGGCAGATAAGTAAATAACTCTAAGAATGTAACACCGTGTAAACGACATGTATGTACTTAAGCGATAACGGTATAGGTAGCTTTATCGGATACTTCCAAGGTTTTGCACCAAACGTTCATGTTGCCAACTTGAATCTTGCATCGCGCACAACACAAACTGCCCAAAGCAAACGAACAAAAAGTGATCAGTCCTCTCTCACTCCTCACTCATTTCTCTATTGCCGCTTGCCGCATTGAAAAGGTATCCCCCAAGCTATCGATCAGCCACTCTAACCTACAAGCCGAGCTACCATCTGGCGCATCGAACGTCGCATACCTCTCGCATATCGACTTGGTGGCCAGCCTGGCTTGGCTGGCTGCAGCATCTTAGGTTTAGGTATTCATCATGGCTACTGAAGATGCTCGATACAGACAGTCCAGCCAGTACCGGCTTTGGTCCTTTTCTCCCTCTCACCTCTCTACTCTTCGCGAGAAGACCAACACCCTTGCGCGTACTCACATCTCGAACCGCATGCGCGCCTCAGACCCTCCCGTCGATCCTCTTCCTGACTTCCTAACACCGGCCGAAGAATATCAAATCCTCAACCACTTTACTCTCGAGCTACTACGCGCCGCTCCCTATTGCAAACTCCCCACCGATATTCAAGCTACCGCTGCTATCTTTTTACGTCGCTTCTATGTTACCAATAGCGTTATGACCTATCCGCCACAGGAACTTATTAAGACCTGCCTATTCTTTGGGTGCAAGGCCGAAGGTTGTTTTATGCGGGTACAGAAGATTGCCGACACTTTCCCCAACACCACGGGCGAGATGATCCTGGCTGCCGAGTACGTCCTATGTCAAGGCATACGGTTCGCCTTCGATGTGCGACACCCCTTCCGCGCTCTGGAAGGAGCGGTGATAGAGCTTAGGAGACTGGGCGACTTCGACGACGAAAGGATCGATCGGGCGCACAAGAGGACGAGAGAAATCCTAAAGTTCAGCCCCCTAGTCACCGACGTCTACTTTCACTACACGCCGAGTCAGATCATGTACGCGGCAATGGCTATAGTCGACGTGGGATTGGTGAACCGTATGATGCGAGAAGCATTTGCCGGCCAAGGCGAAGAGACAAAGGGCAAAATATGGAGTGTGATAGAGGATTGCAAGGCTATGCTGGAGAAAGAGCCTCCGGAAAAGATGTCGACTTATTGGAACGATGTGAGTACATTACGGGATGCCTTTTCATACACTGACTCCAAGCTAACGATGGGGAAAATAGGCGGAGAGCACAAAGTCTATTAAAGTCTTGAGAAGGAAGCTCACCAAGTGCCGGGACCCTGACCGAGTCGATTTGGTCGCTTTGCAGAAGGCGCGGCGAGAGCAGGCAGGGCAGAGTCAGAAGCCAAAAGCGGATTCCAATGGGGATGAGAAGGTATTTGGGAACGGAAATAACCAAGAGCGCGAGTCTAAGAGACGAAAGGTTGCTGCAGACGAAGACGTCTTTGGTCCTCCCTTGTGAGTGTAACCGCGAACTGGCACGTCGCTGAGATAGATTACAGTGGTCTTGTCCGAGAGGCATCACGTCATGAACCTCCTAACCTAGACGACAACTCAGCAAGTGAATATGGTCAAGGCGCCCACAACAAGAGTGAGACAGTCGACCAGAGCGTCAGCTCACGACGTCAATGAATAATTCAATTTCATCCGCTGGTTTCGTATAATGCTCATTGTTTCGTTCCTAGGTATATACGTTCTTTCCTGTCACTACATTCCTAGCCCTTTCGCTGTTGAAAGCTACGCCTCAGCCTTGAGTTCTGTAATCTTCTTCTCTTGCTGTTCCTCGAGGATTACATCGGCTGGAATGCGGTCTGGCGTTGCGTTAACTAGGACCAACATAGGGACCAGTGAAGCTGCCATGAGAGCGAACGTCACGCAACTAGAGAGGATTGTTAGCCTGCTGGCTGACCATTTGCGTGGGATCATACATACAATCCAATTAGAGGGTTTGCCCTGATTTGAGTGTTCATGCCGTATGAAATGGCTTGACCGACGGCCTCAAGACATCTGGCAAACATGTTAGCTATGTCATGTACTGAACAACGGGTGTATTCTAAGGTTATGGGTATACCGGAACGCGGCACCGTTTCTAACATTGGACTGAGCATCAGTCGCGAATGAGGATAGAAGCCAGTACATATAGGATTGCGACAGAGGACCCGTTGTCTGGACGAAGAAATACGGTAAAAAGGACGAGGCGTAGATCGAATCGTCCCAATCAATCTTGCCGGGGTTCGCGCCGTTGAACTTGACTTGCATGACGATAGACCAGATGTACACGCCTAGGTTGAGAATGGCAACGGTAAACAGGCCGACCTGCGCCCGACGACGTTGGCTAAGAGACTTCATGTCGAGGATAAAACCAAGGCCAAAACATCCGACACTATATTTGTCAGAACGACAGATCTGGAAGCTAGGAGGATGTTACTCACATGCAGAAGAACGGCGAGATGAGCGAGGACAGGGCACGAGAGCGGACAGAGAAGTACGTCCCCAAATACGTGGACCATGTACCACTGTAGAAGAATGACCAAAGTGCCCAAAGAGCGGAAAGCAGAATGAGCTTTGAAGACATGGTAAACCTGATAAGCTTGGTCTCTTGCTTGAACGTGAGCTTCTCCGAGACGAGAATGCGCGTCCCGTCGGATCGCACAACTCGTTCGAGAGGAGATATGAGGAGGGCGAACGGCAGAGCCAGACTTTCGATGATCAAGAACGCGATATAAGTATCGGGCGTGACTCCGCCGACAGCACCCTTTACGTGGTTCTTGGACAGGCTTGAGGGCGATGATTAACATTTCGTTCCCTTCCTCGATGGCACTGTACGGGGACTTACTTAATTGCGCCTCCTACCAGTTGTCCGAGGTTTCTGGCGACGATCCATAGAGCCAGGTACTTGCCACGAGCACCGGATGGAGCCAAGGACATGATCGAACCGGACTCGGCAACATACCAACAACCACTACCGATGCCGGTGAAGAAACCACCGAAGATAAGATACTACAAGAGGACCCAGTGTTAGAACCCGTCGTCGATAAAGTAGAGAATCGACTTTTCCCCGAAGCTAGGTACTCACCCATTGGGTCCCGAACTTGCTGTTGCAGTAATAGGACGAGCCGCGGATCGGGAACGACATCGCGCCGATGACCAGCGCCCACTTGGTTCCTAGCTTGTTGACGATGGGCCCGCCGAACAGACAGACAATAGCCAGCATAGCATAATTGATAGCGGTGCTGTTGAAGAATACCTTGTTAAAACTTCTTTCAGGGGATGCTGGTCTCGTATCGCGACGACGTACGCTATGTTGCTGGTTTGCGGAGTTGCCAAACCACCTCCACCGAGACCAGCGATCGCATCTGCCATAGCTGGCCCGCAGAATGCCTGCACGCTCAGCAGGAGCATCTGTGTTAAACTGTGTTGGTAGACCCGCTTCCACAGCGGGACAGCTTGTCTATAGGCCTCCATATCGACCAGCTCGTCTGCATTGTTCGTTGGGTTCATCGGCAGCGAGCCCTGTCCCCGAAGGGCATCGTCATTGCCGCCGGCATGGGTGTTAGGAGGTGCGGCGTCGAACTTGGACATGATGCTGATGTCTGCGTGACCCTCACCCCCTAAAATTGCGAGCGTAATGAGTCAGGAACACCGAGCTGAGTCTCGAAGAACTCGGATAAACATCCATATGATCCCCTTCCAGATATATATATGTACTCGAGGTATATCGCGGTCCTTCCCGCCTTATCGGAGGCAGCTTGGCTAATCCATGGGTTCTCGTCCGTCAGGGCGGCGTAGATAACGCCGCCCTTCTCCAAGCCGGGGTAAACATATCTCGGGAGCCCCACTGAACAATGAGATATCATTTACGTTATGAGATCTCGGCAAGGGAAGCACGTGGACATTATGCTCTAGATAATAGTTCTCGCGTGGCCTTGTATATGAAGCACGAATCCGCCGTCCCTTCTAACCAACTTCGACTAGCCACCACAGGCACCACGGTCCAGGCTCCAGATTATGTGTTTTGACCTCTGGTATTGGACCTACCTAGGCTGCTAGGGAATGATAGCAGTCCCGAAATCGCGGCAGTCTCTTGGCCCTGGCCGACTAGCCTCAGTCTAAAGGACATAAACTGGAGCCGATGCCGACGCCTACGGCTCTATTATAGCCAATAGCCTATGAGGACCAACGAAGAGTGACTAGCATTCATCATTTGAATCTTGCCCGGTTTGGGTAATCGCAACAGCCCCGGTCTACAGGGTCAAGCCCACGTTTTCGAGCCTCTATCGACAATTTACCTAAATGGTAGCCCATCTACAACGCAGGTAGATAGGGAAGACGAGGGACAGTCATTCGATTAAATGTTGGCATTTCAGCTTCATACTCGCTTATCTTGCTGATAGAGAAGATCCAACAGATTACGCGTTACCGAAAGATGACCCCCTTTGGGTAGGTAGGTACCTGGTAATGATAGCATTAGCAAGGCAAAGGACAAATACCTAGGAGGTAGGTATTCAATCGTCTGGCGCGCATGTTCCAGACGTCCCACTCCCCACAACCCCTAACAGGCGAATCCTTGCGGTACATGAGTCTATAGATGGGTCCATTAACCTCCTCGCGGTACATATAGCCCAGTTGGACGATAAGTGATAGTTGACATCGTGCCACTCACGTTCAAATATTGCGACTTCGCTTTTAAAAAGCCAAAGTTGACTTGTTTAATTTTACATTTAAGAAATGAGCCTACGAGCGTTTCTAAAATACTAAAAAGAAGTCAAGGGAGACAATACGATCGGCTTCCGACAACATGGCTACGTCTCGTGCAAACATGAAAATCGTCGTGGTGGGCGGAGGCGGCACG